TTTTAACGTCTTACATGAAGAAACCTTACCTACGGTAAACACGTGGTTGCAGAGAAATGCGTTCTGAAAGAGGTTCCGTGGTTCGGAAGGATGGTGTTCTGTTGTTCTTAAAGGTTCTGAACAATACTGGTAAATAGGGAAGCTAGATAATGGGGCAGATGTTGAAAATAATAAAAGATCCAGGAAGAAAAGTAAAACGGATTTTATTCTAAATGGCGCAAATGAGAATTTTTTTTCAAAATGCGAGAAATTTGCGAATTTTGAAATTGGTTTATAGAATGCGCAAATTTCTCGCGGTAATCATTTTTTAATGCGAGAATATAAAAAAATATGCGAGATTCTCGCGCTGTAGTGAAAACACTGCTAACGGTCACTCAATGGTCTTGGTAGATCTCCCCTTTCTGGTGATTTATGGGTTCGATGCTGAAAAGAGAAAATTTGTCAAAAGACTTCTTTTTTTTTTTTTTTTAAGGAAAGGGGATGATGGAGAGATGTTTGTTTATTTTGATTGTTAAAAAGTGTCCGGGAAATCGACCCTTCCGGGAAAGGGACGTCTGGATATGGGACGTCTGGATATGGGACGTTACACTGTACTTATAAAAAATGTGAAATTTTTAGAAAATCGGAATTTTTTATAAAAAAGCTGAAATTTAAGAGATAAAAGTGAAAAAAGCAGAAATCTGCTAAAAAACGGAAAAATCTCATCCATGACCTTTGAAAATTTGATTTCCGGAAACTTCTGTGATCAATGATTTTTTTTAAACGTCTGGACCATTGATCTGCGGAAACTTCCAGATCACTGTTGGCGAAAAATCCGGATTTTTTCCGGAGCACAATCAGCCCTGACACAGGATAACGTTTTATTTATATTATAATCTTAAAAAATATTTGAGGAAATATTCTTTTTTGCGTAGAAAGCGATTCAAAGGCATTGTCTAAGCAATGGTGTTTTACTGGGTAGGTGGGTTTTTTGCAACCTTGGACATGGACAATGCATGATTTAAAGATACTGGATCTGCTTTGACTATTTTTCCTAAATTGCAATCCGACACTAATGCTCAATTTTTAAGAAAATATACAATAAAAGAGTACAGTCAAAATATAACAAATAGTTATTAAAATATATAAATATTAATGTTTAAAAACAGGAGAAGGAAGAGATTTAAACGATGAGGAAATTCATGGACACTTTCGACACTTTGAGTAAAAAATCTGGACTTTCAAAGTTATCAAAAAAGTTTTTTTTTAAAAATTTTGGACCTGAAGCTTCGACATCTCTATGTAATGTGATATACGCATTAAATTTATTTACAATATGACAAGAAAAATAAATAAACACTTTAGTTTTGAAATTTAACAAGCATAGTCAAATTTTAAAAAAATTAAACACCTTTTAATCACTTAAGAATTATTTGTAAGAATTTAGGATATGTGCACTAAAAATAAATTCTTCCTATTGTAGAAAGTTTATACACATAGCAGCGTGCATAGCCAAATCTTTCAACAAAAAATAAGCTCTTTTTAAGCACTCAAAATTTTTTTTAAGCACTATAAACATTAACTAAATGCAAAAGAATTTTCAAAAAACTTTGGATGATAATGAGAAAATAACTAATTTCTGACAAAGAGCTCTTTTCTTGATTAGCCACCATAAAATGATTGAGATTTTTCGGTTCGATATCAAAGGGTGGAAAATGAAGTTTGAAATCGAGAATAGCTCGCAGAATGAACATGAGAGTGCAATAATCTCACCGAACTCAGCTCAAACGACACACATGTGCACGCTGAAGTATTTCATCAAACATGTAAAATGATTGGTGATTTCATACGATATGGACCGCCGGTACGCCGAAATAGATTGTGGTTGAATTAATTATGAAAAACTTTGAACAGTACTATGTGAAATGTACGCTCTTGCACAATATGTTGTGAAAATAGAAATGGTAAAGAATTTAAGAACTTTCTGCATTTGCAGTAAAGACTAAATACCAAATATTTGTATGTAGCATCTCTAATTTAGTAGCAGCAATTGCTGTTTATTTTTTAAATTTTAATATTTTTTAATTGTAATTCTAGAGTGTTGAGCATAATCTTGTATCTATTTACAGTTTAAAAACTCCTTGAAAAAGTTTTTTGCAATAACAGGACCCTATTTGCACAAATTTACAAAAGCAGAACCCTGGTTGAAGGAATGTGACTTAACGTTTATTCTATATTCACAAATTATGAGTAATTTTTTCGCAATTTTAGAAAAACGGACCTTTCACAAAATGTCTGGACAGACCCCTGCTCAGGATAAAATAACTTATTTCTGACAAAAAACTCTTTATCTTGATTATATTATCCACCATAAAAACAATTTATGCAGAATTTTAAATATTTTCAACAGTGTCTCATTCTTTGATTGCATAAAAGAATTTTAATTCAAAAATAAAATTAGTTTAACTACTTTAGGGCTGATTGTAAATACAATAAGTATTGAAGCTAAACATTTTAGAAATAAATTATAAGGTCTCCACATTACTAATATTAACAAATCTAAGATTTTTGAATTTTTATTTTAATTGTTTTTAAACCAAATCTTTCATCTTTCTAAAGAATTAAGGTTCTTTGGAAGGCTAAATCTGATTTAACATAAGATTTTTTATATCGTATCTGTTAATTGTGAAAAGAGATCACATTTTCTTAAAATAGATTCATAATAACTTTTCATAAAATAGTTGAAGAGCACTAAAAATTTTTAAAGTACAATAAAAAGTTTAGAAATTTCATTCATTTGTGGATGAAATAAAAATCTATACATTTAAAAAGCTCAATTATTATCTTTATTAAAATTTACTGAATAAAAGGGATATGGAAATTTTGAGATGATGAAGTTTTGCGATTGCTGAATTCTCTGAACCCACATGAAAATAAGTAATTATTGAATGATCCCCAAGTCAAGTTCAAGGATTGTTGTACTATAAATGAAATAGCACAAGAAGGTCATTGGCTTGTCAATGACCAAGATGATAGTACTTCAACACCAATGAAATTTACAAGAGAAATAAAATTATATCTCTCTATCAGGGAAATTTTTCACTTTGATTTCAAAGAGCAAAAAACAAAGCCTGAAATTTAGAATATCTTGCAAAATGCAGCAGAGTTGCCCATAATAGTGCAAGAATCTTTCCAACCAAATTCAGCTTAATTTAAAATGAAGTTTAAATTGAGTAATTGAGAGAAAAACTAAAATAATTAATAACGAAGTCTGCGAAATCTTTGCCCTTATCGCATTCGGCAACAGAACAATTTGCATCAAGTTACAAATTTGATCAGTTACCGGAGAATACTTTATAAAATAGTCAAGAAGCAGAATAAAATTCAAAATTTTTCAAGACTTATCAAAGACAATACATAAGCGACTGACCTCTAGACTTCTTCGGTAACAATAAATATCATTAATATAGATGCTGAATAGCAGTGGATTTTTCATCTACGTCAATATTTTCAACGCCAGGTGGTAGCTGCTTAGTAGAATGAGAGTCGATGACTGGAAGAGATTACTTCAGTTCTCCAACATCTTGAAAAACCTACACATATTAAGACCAAAATTTTATTAGTAGATTTCAGTGCGTAAAAAATCGTTAAATGAAGAAAATTATGCATGGCAAAACCTTTTGAACTTTAATATTTGTTTCCAAAATTTTATAACTAAGAAAAATATTTAAAATCTGTTTTAGCAGATTGTATTCCGCTTCAATTAATACATTTTCTTTGCATTTCTACAAGTTTTAGAAAGACAATATTTTGAATACGCAATTATGACTCTTGAATTACCAACCCCGTATTTAAATACACATCTTTTTGCTTTGTGTTGACATAATCTTAAATACAAAACTATTTTTGATCGTAGTTTTGTCAGTACCATCAGAGGGTAAAACTACACCATTACTACACTACACCATTCTTAGAGGGTAAAAGAAAAAAAGCCAAAGCCAGATTTTTAACATGCTATTACAACACTTTAATTTCAAATCTCTTTCAAAAAAAATTTCTGATGCACTCCGTTTGTGCTGATGTTAACATAAATTTAAGAGGTTTTTCTAACTTTTATGGAAGTTAATAAATTTTCCCACAAGATTTTGAATCTTATTTGCCCCGTAAGGTTTTCATTTGAATTGAACTTTTTAAACCTTAAATTTTCTTTAAATTATTTTACCTGCATTTATTTTGCTGACTAGATAGTATTCAAATAACAATTGAGCTTTGTCAGAATTTGTTAAAACAGACTTTTGTATTAAGTAAAGTGATAAAAACAAAACAAAAATATAACATTTCTCATTGTTTTTACTTATTTCAAATTTAACTGAATCTTTTCTGACAATAGAATTTTTCTTTCTTAAATAAATTATTCTAACTGTAATTTTAAACATTTAAATATATTTAATTTTTATGCAAACATATTACTAATCTAACAGATTAAAAGAATTTAGCGCAATTTTTTAAGAGTTTTATTCGAGAAACTTTCTTAAGTTTAATTAAAATTTATACAGTAATTAAAATTTATACCCAGGCGTAAGAAAAATTTTCTACTTCTCCAGATTCAAATTTAATAACGCTAACTAGAGGTAAACAAAAAATCTCCGAACTTTTCCGTCAATGTCTTAGCATTACAATTAAATGTAATTAAAGTTTTTTTTCGTCATAAAAGTTAATTGCGACTTAAAAACGCATTCTTAGATTAGGGATTATTTAAGCATATAGCTATAGAGATATACCCTTACTGGAATATTACGAACTTCATTTCCCACTCCACGCAAAGGTTTCCTCAATAGATCACCAGCAGTTGCTTTATTTCTGGCAACTAGGAGGTTTTCATTTTGAATATTTCTGAGTGTTTCCTGTAAAAATATAAAAGTTAATAATGGAGGTTGAGTCCAAAAATAATTAAGGTAACAAACCAGGGTTGGCAAGTTTTTGACACATGACAGTTTTTACCGGTTATTACGATGGTTTTTACCGTCATGTCAAAAACCCATAGTTTTGGTAAATTAGTATTTTTATTTGAGTTTAACTGCTTATAATTTAAAATTAATTAATTTTTGGGCAATAAAATTAGAAAAAAAGTTGTTAAAAGATATTTAAGAACAGATTTTTGCATTTTCCCAACATGTTTATATCAAAACATACTATTTGAAGTAAAATATTAGGATATGAAACAAAATTTTCAACATTTCCAAGCATCACTTTGTTTGGCATATTACATAACTGAAGAATGTCAAGATTGATTACGTTCATTCATAAAATCTTGCTTTGAGAAACACGTGTACACATAAAAAGAAAGCTTCATAAAATATACTTTTCTTATCATTTTTGTTTTCAATATTTTACACAGAAATGAGACATGAAAAAGCCTGGGAAATCCTTTTAGAGTTTCCTTGCAACATTGCAATAACCTTTTGTTATCATTATCCTTAATGACAGGCTTCCATTGACAGAATCTTCTTGAATTTTGAACTCATCCATACTATACTCAGAAATTGACTGGGCAATGAAAAATGCGCAAAATTAGTCACTTGCTATTGTATGCTTCGGCACAGTGACCCCGACTACTGAACATGTAATTTTGTTTGTAATTAAGTTTTGCTTAGTATGCTTTTTCAACTAAATAAAAGCTTATTACTTGACAAAATAGCAGTAATTCTTGACTTATAGTTTGTTAGTACTTATAAGTTTTGAAAGTTTATTTTAGCTTATTTCTAATATTTAAGAAATGCCAAATTTTAAATTCTTTTTAGTTCTTGAATTTATTAATAGTTCCAAGCTTTTTTGTTTATCTCTTACAATTAAGAAGTGCAAAATTTTGAATCATTTGCAAATCCAAGCTATAATGATAAAAGTATCGCTATTTTCAATAAGTATATTACAATATTACTGTATGAATGCATATCCTTCTATAAGAATGCATGTATATAGTTGCAAAATCAATAGCAATCATTTACAACATTCATTTATAAAGGCAATTATGTGAAAATAATATATTGTCCGCTATATGCCATAAATTTAAGAAAACAGTACGTTTTTGATGGTTTTTACCACTGTCATGTCAAAAACCAGTCTTTGACGGCAAAAACCCAAACCTGTAACAAACGAAACAAAACGTAGAACGTATAGAAATGAGAAATTGTCACAATAAATATACCTTAGCTTAATTTATATAAGGTTAAACGTAATTCATCAATAAATAGTTAGATTTGTAGAACAATTTTAGGGGTAATAACCAGAGAACTGATCAGCAAATTATAAAAACCTTGGCCACCAGAATTAAAGTTTTATTATTGTTTGCTAAGATAAAAACAGTTTTCAAAAGGCAGTGTCTATTACAGCGACTATCGGTAAGATAGCCTCAGAGCTATCGCGCCGACGTTGACAACAGCGCCACTTTACAGAAACTAATTCATCGGTACAATAGCTATAAGTTATGCTTTTCTACCTGTGTATGTGAAATTGGTAATGGGTTGTCATTGTTTCACCAACAACAAAAAATTTAAAAATAAATGAACATTATTTCTTTTTTCCTTAAAGCGTATAAAATTTTNCTTGGTGCTCAACAGGTATCAGGCTTTCTTTAGGCGAAGAACGGAACAAAGATTCGGAGAGGACATGGTCATGATCCTCATTCATTGATTTTATCTGCAAAAATTGTTTATCTGGAGACAACAGCTGGACAATTTTGAGTAAAGGTTCTGGAAAATAAATTTATTTTAAAACAAACTACGTATAAAAAATGTATAAACTAAACTCTATAAGGGCTTGCAGACACAATATAAAATAATAGATAGCAGGTCAGAGAACATATAAAACAAGAGTGTTAAATTGTTCTTTACAAGGTGTATAGTGACTATTGACATGGTGACATCAGGAACGATGTTGCTAATCAATTAACACATTTTAAATAATTCATTTTAAATAACACATTTTAAAAATTAATTAAACAATACAAAATTTACTTACTTGGATTGGCGACTGTTATCTGTACATTTTTTTTTATGAATTCTTCCACCATGTGTATTTCAATTCCAGCGGAGCCTTATCAAATTTTTTAAATTTCTTTGAAGCATTTTGTAAAGTTTTCGCTTCTCTCTTCTAGAAGATCGCCCTTTTTTCTTTTTCAAATTCATGAATGGCTATTTGTTATTCTTCATATGAAGAAAATCAAGATGCTACAAAAATTGTAGCTGCCTTGACTACGATAAACAGAGCTAAATTATTTTTGAAAAAAAAATCGGAGAGTCACGTTGACAGATACGCTCTATGATTGGTTAAAAATTTGATCGGTAAGATAGCAAAATGAATTTTACTGCGCCGATAATCGGTGCAATAGACACTCCGTTTTCAAAAATTTGCAAGAAGCTGAAGTTGAAGTTGTTAGCTGAATCTGCATTAAATATTTAAATTGGTAATTTACGATTTCTCATTGTTTTATGCACTTTTTTTAATGTTTTTAAATATTTTTTAAAATTATTTGCCGTTCATATTAAATTTTGTTTTCTTTCAATCATGTTATGTTAACATATGATCACATGTAACCTTAATCGTTTGAAAAATGTAAACAAATATGACAACCGTGTGTCCGGTGTGTATCAGAATCATCAATTTGTGGTGTACGCTGTTGGTGACTGTTTAAGTTTGTTTTTACCTGGTATTTATTTTTATTTATAGAAAAATGGATTTCCCTTCTGCAAAGAACGCATTTTTCAGTTTAATGAACTCTTTAAGTAACGAAGATCGTTCAGAATTTCTCTCATGGTGTAAAGATTGGTGTTCCTCTGGTAATTTACTACCTTTAACTTATAACAAAGCATATTTTATTTTATTTTTTTTTTGTAATTAAAACTTTATTCTCGCTTGTCATTGTAATAATTATTTGGTTCAATTATTTTTAGATTCTTCGATTTAAAAACTTTTATTCATGTATTGAAAAAGATTGGCTGCTTTAAGGTTTTTTTTCTTCTTGCACCTTTCTTCCAATAGTGGTTCATATTTCATTATTACTAGCTTTTTTTCTCTTAATTTCAGAGTTTTCTGCAAATGAGCTTGGAAAGAAATTATTGCCATTACTGTTCTAAAGTAATTTTATTTAGCTTCCAAATAATTTTATATCTTTTCTCTAGATTCTGAATACAGCAAAAAGTACTTCGATCTGCGAACAATTGCAGAAGATATCAAGACTTTAGTACCAACTGAAGCTATATTTCCTTCTGAGCAGATAAATCATAATAACTTGCTGACTGTGAGTCATTTTGCCATAACTTATTTTTTATTAACTATTTAATAACAATTGCAACACATTTTAGCACAATACTTAATTCAAGTATAATAAATGTATGTTTTGTTTTAAAAAGATGACTTGTGTGTGGTCCTACGCCAAAATGATCGCCAAGTTGCATCCAAGAAACTGACAAAACTATGGAGCAGACGAGAAGGGTGAAATATGTTGACACCTTTGGGCAAACCACTATATACACAGTACCAAGTCCCATATCCAGGAATTTGTTTAATAGAAACGTTTATCTTACAGATACTTTATAATCATTAAAATAGACATATCTATTCCCATTTCTCCCCAAAAAAGTTTAGTTTTTTTTCTTTTACTCATGATCTGTTACCAAATCTTAATCTTATGTGTCTAAAGAAGAAATAGTTTTGCTTTTTTTAACTTCCCTTTTGCCTATGTTCAGAGTTGTTAAGATAGGAGGTCGCTGTGACCACCCAAAGATTTTAATTATGCAGCAAAATTTGTCCGGCCGTTCAGCAGATTTTTAGCAAAACAAATAGCAGTGAAACTAATTTTATCAGTTTTTTACTCGTAATGGTTGGAAAAAAAAGCTCTTTTTTTTAAAACATTGTTTGAACACAACAAATGTGAAATAATGTATTATTGAATGAAGGGAATATTCTATTTAGTATATTTACGAGAAATTCAGGTCACAAAGTTACTTGTAATTCGATTCGCGAGAAAGTGAAAAATACATTCATTTTAGCAGATTATTTTATTTATTTATCAAAGGGTTCATTAAATTGTTTTGCTTATTAACTAGCGTAATTAAGCTTAAAACATAAATAAGTAATATATTAGCAACAAAAAAATTTATTTTTTTTACTGAAGCAAATGAATTACATCCTTATATAAACTTTCTTCTACAAGGATTATGACTTTTTGCTACACTTTTTTGAATTTGTCAAATATATGTTTTTTAAAAGATTGCAAAAAATATATATTCTATATACGGCCTGGTTTCCAGAATTAATTATTAGATCTATTGATTTTTAAGCATAAAAATTATTTCACTTTGGTTATAGCAAATCTATTTTTTTAGTTGCCAGTGAACTTGAATTTATTATAGATAAAGCTTCTGGTTGATGTTATATTAGACAGATCATGCTTATTTCTTAGCTGCCAACAATTGCACTTTTCTTAAGATGTTTTTTTAGTGATAGTGAAATAAAAATTGCAAGAATAACTACTGTAAGCAGAAATTTCTTAAATTTTATCAATATCTAGAACCACATCAATGATTATCAGATAGTTTATATGTGTTTAAATTAATTAGGTATGGTCATAATCAAGAACATTTTAAATAAAATTTGTTAAATGAGAAATGAAGTGTCTGAATTTGCAACTATGTTGTTTATAGCTCATACTTCTTCAAAGCTACTCTTGATGTTTCTTTAATTTATGTAAGAATAATTGCCATCGCTTTTTCATCGTTCCATCAAATTATGAATCCCATTCAGCAAAATGGGAATTTCCTCATTCGAAAAATAAAGCCTGTGTTTAGGATAGCTAAGCATTCATACTGCTTTAATGAGCATATTTAAAGAGATCCAGAAAAGGCTAGAGCGGTTTAAAAAGAAGAAAAAAACTTTTATTAGAGGATTAAACTGTAAGTGTTATTGAAACTGAATAATAATAGTGTTTGAAGAAAATGGCATGTTTTGATTCTGTATACTCAGTGGCGCTACAGGCCAAAGTACTCATACGAAAACTCAGTGGCGCTACAGGCCAAAGAGAGTCAAGACCTACTGTGTCCATCACAGTTTTCTTGACCTTGGTCTCTGAGGTGCAGGAGCAGATATTCCCGTTGAATGGTCGGAATTATTTGTTGTAAGAATTTCACTCTTTAGCCAGGTTAATGATTCTCGTTTGATTTAGTCATGTTTAATGATTCTCGTCAATCGTCGTTGATCCCGTTCTTGCACGATCTTTTTCCGACTGCAGCGATGTCGTAGATTTGATGTTTTACCGGATTTCCGATACTCACGGTAGACTCGTGAAATGGTCGTACATGAAAATCCAAATTTTATTGCTATCTCAGAGATGCTATGTCCCATCTCCCATGCGCCGACTATAACACCACGTTCAAACTCACTCAAATCTGTATAACCTGGCATTGTAGCAGCAGTAACCGATCTAAGAACTGTGCTAGACACTTGTTGTTTTATATACGCGTTGCCGATCACAGCGCTGTACTTTGATTGGCTCCATACCCCTTTATTTGCATACTCATGCCTGTACCAGTTTTTTTGGCTCTTCAGTGTGTGTGTATATATATATAGTTCACAAAGTCTAATATTTGACTTTACAAGTAAAAAAATTAATCAAAGTTTTCTGATGTAAAAATTGCATGGTATAGAAAAAATATGGCCAGGGTTTTCATTGAAATTTGCCTGATATACCTAGAAAAGTCGGGAATTTTTTTTTTATTTATTTATTTAATGGGAACCCTGTGTTTTCTTAGCCTTGAATATGATGTTTCATTTATATATTATCACTAAAATATTTTATCCATTTTTTTGCAACATAATATGTGCAAACTATTATGGGCATAATATGTGCAATATAATGCAGTGTATACTTCAGGCAGATTATGCATTAATTTGGATTAAAGAAGGATAATTCTTTTTCAATTCCTAAAAATAAAAAGGGCTAGTTTTACTCTTAAAATTCTTTCTATTAATTCATTAAGTGAAGAAAAAAAAGAGTTTCTCATAATTATGGCACTATTTATATTTAGGAATCTGCTCCTAGAACCACTCCTATACTACATGTTGATAGTTTTCTCTTTGAAGATGAACATATTGATTCATTAGTTGAAGAAGGAAAACTGAGTCGGAATTACTGCAAAGATTGTGGATCATCAAATGTTTCCCCTATAAGTAAGTTAAAAATAATAAGTTTGTTATTTACCTTTTATCTTGTTTCAATGTCTAGTTGCAAAAGACTAGTTTTTGATACATTTACTTTATTAACTTATAGATTATAAGATATTTAACTGCTGAGACTTCCAGAAATAAATAATTTTAAACTTATTATCATTCTCATGAAAGATTAATCTCTCACATCTCAATTGTGTTGTGTAATTTACTCATTTTATTTTAATTTCTCCTTAAAGTACTCAACACACTGCTCTGACGACATCAGTCTATGAAATCCTTCTATTTTCAAATTTAGTGGTGCGGCTACAACAGCACTTGACATTGGATAAAGAGCAGTAATGATTGATATTTGTTTAATTGTTGAATAGGTATGAACAGAGAAATAACACAAAATCAAAAAACAGATATAAGTTTCATTGAAATTAATTTATATATTTTAAATTAGAACGTCTCATGTGTTTAATACAATACCAAAAGAGAAAAAACTCAACAAAACATTTGAATAAATTCAAATGAAATTAAGAATTGGAACTAGGTGTAAATACACCTCATCTCTATTGTAGGAGTGCGGTCCTCTATGACCTTTCTACTCTTAACAAGGTATACCTAAACTGGGTGCCTATACATATGGGTATTCCTGGTAATGAGCTGACTGGTGACTGGCTAGGGTGAACTGGCTGAAGCACTTATTTCATAAATTTATACTATATTCTAAAAGAGAAACTATTTAATCATCAGACTAATACATATTTTCTAATGAGACTTACATTTTAATACAAGTTTGGAATAAAATTTACCCATTTGTTCAAAACATTAAATAATAATAAAAAAGGTAAATAAATAATCCAAAAAAACTGAGGAGGTAAGATATTGCTTGATTAAAAACTTCATTCATTAAAAAAAATTTACGGATTTAAAATAGGTAATAGTCGACATGTTTCAAGTGCTCAAAAATAGGTGTTCATTTTCAAGACTGGGGCAAGTCTTGAAAGGGCCGTCTATTTTTGGCACTTGACTGTTATTTCCGATCCGTATATTTTTTAAACGAATTAAGTTTTTTAATCAAGTAATAACAAAAAAAGTAGTTTTGAGCAAGCACAGTAGGAAGAAATAATTATTTAAGAATCTAATAATATAATACTTAAAGCAAATTTATTTGAAATGGCAAATAAAAAATTGTCGTAAATGTATTTGAATTTAAAAATGGCAAATAAAATCGGCACAATAAAGTATTACTAAGAAATCATTGTTTAGAATAAAACACAACAAACTCATGAATAGTTATTAGTAAAGCTTCACACAGAAAAATAATTACAGCTATTTTGATTATTATAAACAAGCACCGTCATCTGTCATGTAATGAAGAGGGAAAATATATGATTTAGAAAGCCATTTAATTACTCGCAAATTACAACCCTAATTAACTATGCATTTTGTAACCAAATTTGTAAAAGCTTCAATTGTCGTACATTTTATACTTGTTTTATTTTTAAGCTCATGATGAAAATAAAGAAATCAACTGTTACTGGATTATCTTGTCACAGTGATTTTTTTTTTTTTTAACTTTCTAAATTCTTATTATTTGAATGTCAATAGGTGACTTTCTTTGTTTTTAGCATTTATCTCACATTCAGCATCAGTGCAAAGAATAGAATTTATTTTTCAATACATGCTCCCTGATATAAGCAATAAAGTTCTGCTTGATGTTGGATCTAGATTAGGAGCTATACTATATGGGGTAATGTTTATAATATGGTTCTGGTGTTTAAATTTAATTCTGGTGTTTAATTTTCTATCTATAGTTTTGACCCAATTAAACATATCCTTTCCTCAATCCATTGGTGTCTGGATGTCACATGTAACTATATGTTTCTCCATCTCCAACTTGTAAGGATTCATTTGTTTATAATTTTTAGTCTCAACTGCACTCTTTTCAATTTTTCATTAAGGATTCATAAAATTATATTTTTGCAGCCTCAATGTTAACCATTAATTAAAGCCAGTCAGATACCTTCAATTAATGAATATTAAGAAACTAGGAACTGTGTAGCACCTATTAATAACAGGAAAAATTTGAACCTGTGTGAAAGAGATTTGTTAGTCTAAGAAAATCAAGTTTTTTGCTAAATTCTAGATATATTAATTAATAGCATTAATTAATTAAACATGCAATTTTTTCATGCTTATTTAGTTCAGAATTACATTTTGTTGAATCCTTTAAAAAATCAAATGTTTTATTTTTTTTCCTTAAAAATAAAAATGCCTCACAAATTTGAAACTAAAAGAATTACAAAAACTATTTTTTCCTACTACAAAAGTGCGATTCTACCTATGTAAATCTAATTTTGTTTGTTCTGAAATTTTAATATTTATGGTTCATTTAAATGTCTTATGAAAATTTAAAAGCACACCATTTTGTCATATATTTTTTAAATATTTTTATAATATTTTGAGTACAAAAGACTACTGTAAAAAATATAGCAAAATATTTTTAATAGTCTCTGTCGTCAAAATAAAAATTATCAAAAACAGAATATTTCCTTCCTGTAAAAGTAAAGGGAAATAAAGCAAGACACATTAGGGTAATTATTTGTTGCAGACTAATACTATTTAAGTTATAACTTGGGTGGGTATCAATATGTATTACACGAAAAGATATTTTTTCATGTGTGTCATACTTATATTAAAAGGAGGGTACAGTTTCTAAAATAACTTTTTGCAAGTTTTATATTGTATGAAATAAAATATTGTATTTTAGTTTTGAAAGTAATGTATGTTATAGACTTATAAAAGATCTGGCCCTTTACAATCTGCTAACGTCATTTGTTAGGCTTATTACAATGGGTCTTGTCGGCACATTGTAAAGTGATTTTTGCCGATTTTCAAAAAACTGGATTTTTCTTATTAGCATACAAGATATGTAATACCAGAAGTTATTTTACATACTATCTTACACTGTCATTCATTATCTTTCCGCGCTTACTTACATAGTTCTATTGCATTTATTTGAAACTTCTCTCTTTCCCACCCTTGATGGTTAAGTTGGTGTATTATATTTCATTATTGCAAATAAATCTGTTGTATATATATATATGTGTGTGTGTATGTATGTATGTATGTATATATATATATGCACTGTTGTTTTTTATATTTTGCATGATACTCGTTTGTTGTGCTTGTATTTTATATTCGAATCAACAAATGCTTATCCAGTTAATAAATGTACTTTAAATGTCTTACTGTATATTTTTAACTATTGATTTGTTTAGTACTAATGATTTGTTATTTACTTTATTTAAATTTATTTTTATAGCACCTATATATTAAAATAAGTTAAATGATAAATATTATTATTCTAATTATTTAAACTTTATGGAATAATATTATTTTTAAGGTCACTGTGCTGGGCTATCTGTATTTGCTCTTATGTTTAACGTTGCATGTTTAAGAATGTTTACAATATGAAATTTTATAGTATGATTTTATTAATTTAGTGTTTTTAAATATTATGTTATAAAGTTTTTTTTAGACAGCTTTTTTCAAAAAACAAAAAAAAAAAAAATTTATTTTTAACAACATTTCCTCATGAATCACCGAGCAGAAAATATTTAATCTCATACACCACCATCTCATTTTGTAGGAAGGGAAAGAAAGTGTTTCAATTGATTAGAGTGTGTTTTTTTATTGCCTTCTTCCAAAATCAGCAATTTTTAAAATCTGTACTATGATATTAAAAAATTATTCAAGATGACAAGGTTTCAAATGAGCAAACTATGTATTATCAAACAAATTTTTATTTAATATGGTAACCAAACATAAAAAGAAAGTAATGATGATTACGATTAATTACAATTTACTTTAAAAAAATAATATTATTCAATTAATGTTACTTCACATTAGTGGGAAGGTGGGAACACTGAAAAAAGCAAAAATTATCATTCATTAACTCATTCTTATTAAAAAATTATCCTTCTTTTACCAACGACCATTTGGTTAACACTATTCTAATTTATTGAGAATCTAAACTCTTTTTAATTTAAAAAATTTTGTGCTGCTTTAAAAAAAATGTCTAATGAAACATTAATTTTTTTACAAAATTTTCTATTTTAAGTGCTATTGTCTTTTACTGTATTTACTTTTTTAATAAAAAGTTTAATTATAAAGTGTACTTTTATAACCCTGGTCTATCTCATTCTACTGTATTTATAGCTTAGGAGCTAAGAAGTACCTTTTCTTTTTTCCTTTAAAAAAAAAAATTTTTTTTTAAACTTTCCAGTGTTTTCTTATTATCACCAAGTAAAGTTGCAAGCTTTAAGAAACAAAATTTAGTTTTGATGAAACATGTTGTAACGTTAGATTTCATGGGAAAAATTGACTTTGACTCAATTGTTAACATTCTATTTTATTTTTAATGTTGACTCCTTGTAAATTGCTTTCATGTTTACTCCTGCAGGTCAATGGAACCTAAGGATAAATCTCCACTTTTGTATAAATTTTTTTAACTTATTACGAGTTGGGAAAAAAATTTTGCTGTTTTTTTTTCTCTATTTGCTTTAATTAGTAAGTGATTACATATTTTTTTCCCTAGGCCTATTACTGTAGCAATGCTAGAAAAATAATTGGTGTTGAAATAAACCAAGATTTTTGTAAATTGCAGCAACACATCATTGAAAAATATCATTTGAATGACAAAATAGAGGTAAGTTGACACTTTTAATATTAGTACTTTTACAATATACTAACATAATTTAAAAATATTAATTTTAGCTCACACTTTTTTTTTTTTTGAACCACAGAAGATTATGTGTACTAATTCATGTCAATGTATATTGAACCTCAAAAGTTAAGGGGAAAACAGAAGATGATCATTGCCAGTGCACATAAATGTCAAAGCTATACACTAATAGGATTAGTTATATCACAACCAAATGAAAATTATTGATGTATTTTTGTGGAGCAGGTTTACAAAATATCAAACTTGATATTACTCTCAATCCATATTTTTTTATTAAAATGAAACCTCTCAGTTTCGCAGTAAAATTATCCTGAATAGAGGATATTGGTTCTCAGGGGTCACTGCTATTAACTTTAAAATTATTTCTAAGGAGCATGATGTTTTCCAAGCAGTTTTAATTTTACTCAGTGTAATTTTCTTGGTGCAGGAATGCCACTTGTGTTGGTGTCACTAAAACCAGTTTGATGAATACAATTTAACATCAATGAAAATGACCTCAACATCATCATCATAGTTGGCCAGACAGCCCAATGTGGGCCAATGCCTTCCTCTGAAGATTTCTCCATAATTACTTCTGATTTATCTTTGATCTCTAATTCTTCTTATGATCTCCAATGAGCCCTACTGATATATAATATATGTGTAAAATCAAATTTATCAATTATGAATGACTGTGAAATCTGCAGGAAAGACCTCCTTTATTTACGACCACTTTTGGGAGGCATGGAATTTTTTCCATAGACTTTGTGTTGAAGAAAACCTTTCCATCAAAACCTCTTCCAGCAACCAGGCAAACTCTACACCAAAATGTAGAGAAAACAAAGGGAAAATTGCAGAACAATAAAAGAAACTGGGGGGGGGGAATTCCGAAAAAAGGACAAAAAATTCTAAAAAATCCGGAAAATAAAAGATATAATCTTTTCATCAGCTCACACGATTATATCCGCAAAAGAAAGGGCTTTCTAATATTGTATTAATATAGCCAAAGCAAAATATATCAATACAATAGTGTAAGGAGCACTCAAAAAATTTTACAAAAAAAATTACAGGGTGGCCACCCACCTGGAATTATCAGGGAATTTTTTATATACTGGAAAAAACCTGGAAATATCAGCGAAATTTGGATAAAAACCTGGAAAAATCAGGGAATTTTAAAGAAAAGCTGGAAATTTTTTCTTTGATCATTTTTTTAATTTCACCAATTTAAATTTTACTAATTTTCTTAATTTAAATTATTTCATCCATTATACCCACTTTTTTTAAAACGGAAATGTATCGCCTAACAGTTGAAATATCATCAACTTAGCGATACTTTGCTTGCATCAAAATTTGCTCCATTACAGCTCTGTTAAACTAGCATGCCACATAAAATTCTGCCGTGGTTGCTAAACGAATGTAGAAACCTTTGACCGCTATGGGACTGTGCAATTTAAGAAAGATTCTGGTGGGGGTGGAAAAAGGGATTAGGAAATTAGCTTCTGTTTTTAAATTCTGTCCTTGGGCTGAATCCATTTATGGCTCAAGTTTGTTCCAATGCTTAGGTGGTAATTTTTTTTTTATATTTTGACAAAATGTTTTTGTATTTTTAACTTTATGAAATTCTCCAAAAATTAGTTGGTTATAATTTAATAATTATAGACTTTATATTACACCCTTTTTCTAAAAGCTTTTCTACTCTCATTCAAAGAAATCAATGAATTATTTTTTCTCAGCAAACCAACCAATCACATTTTTTTACAATCACTAACAGCAATGTTTGTTGACAAATCTTCACAATTGTTGCATAAATGATTTTTGATTCAAAATTTTGTACCAAAACATTAAAAATTAAATAAAACAATCTTGCCAAATTGTCAAAATAAATTTTTTTTTTTCAAGATGATATGTTGAAAAAATAATATTTTGAATAAAATATTTTATAATACCTAGAAAAATCAGGGAAATTTGAAATCTGATTTGAGTGGCCACCCTGAATTACAACAAGTAAAAAAGAACACAATAAGTAAAAATATCACGTAAAAACAGAAAAAAAAATATTTAAAAAAAAAAAAAAAAAAAAAAAAAAAAAAAAAAAAAAAACAGAATAAAATATGAAATGAAATCTGTAAAGTGAGTAGTGAATTCAAATGAACGGGAAATTTTTCAAGAATGATTTAAAATATTTTTGTAACAAGATTGCCAGATTGCAAAAAATGAAAGCAAAAACGCAAATTAAGCTAAAAACGTAACTAGAGGACTCTTGTATTAAAGTGCGTTCTTATTGCATTACTGAAGTGCGTTTGATTTGTTGGTTACCAAGGATGAGCCCGAAAATGGATGTGCGCAAGGTAATATTATACTGGATAATTTAAAGAAGTTGACAATTAATAATTTTAGAAAATAAATATTTGTTTAAGGGGAAAAATAGAAAAGAGAAAGAAACATGAATTGCCTGTTTTGCACGGATAATTTTAGCCACGGATTTGCCCGAAATGGATTTGCACATGGAAAAATGATATAAATTAACAAAGAAATTTTTTTTTAGTAAATAATTTAAGCCATGGATTTGCCGAAATGGATTTGCACATGGAAAAATTATATAAATTAACAAAGAAATTTTTTTTAATAAATAATTTAAGCCACGGATTTGCCGAAATGGATTTGCACATGGAAAAATTATATAAATTAACAAAGAAATTTGTTAATAAATAATTTAAGCCACGGATTTGCCCGAAATGGATTTACCTTGGTTTGTCAGCAACTATTCTTCAAAAATTCCACTTGATAATCACTTTCTTATTAGCTTTCCATGTTACACCCAATATGTTGAGATCTTTACCTTTAAAACAGCCTGGATTTACATCTTCCATATCAATAAAAATGTCTACTTCTCTGCAGCACTTACGCAAAATGCAATTGTAAGTCTCTCTTCTGGTAATTTACCAACTCTTTCAATCTCAGATTTTAAGATTTATCTTTTTGTTAGCAAAGACCCAAAAAAGAAAATAATTCTATTTCGTCCTTGTCTAAAATATCGTTATCATTATATTCAGGGAGCAAGAGTAGCAATCTTGCTATTTAATCATCACAGAGTTTCATCAATATCTGCTGCTTTTCCACATTATGAGCAAAAAACTATGTTATACCTGTAAACAAGTTTTTTAAGCTACCTGTTAGACTTAGACTTAGAGGTTGGGCAGCTCTGACGAGCAGGGCACATCGACTAGAGGTCTATTGTACCCAAACCCTAAAATCATGATTAGCATGAAAGCCCTATGGCTGAAATAAAATTCAGCAAGCACCTTACAGGAACATCTTGCAGTTCCCAGGCATTGACGATATGCTGCCCTAAATGCTCAAATCTTTGAGCAGAATAGACCTCACAATCACAGAGTATGTGTCGTGATGTCTCTTCTTCTAGATGACATCCAGTGGCGTATCTAGGGTATGGCAGGTATGGCGAGAGCCATGGGCGCATTATTTGAAAAAGGCGCAAAATCAACCAACACCAACGTCTTTTTTTCAATTTTTCAAAATATTTTGATATTTTGCTTGTTTTAAAAAAATTAATTTATATTACTTATACAAATACAAATTTTAAAAACAATAATACAAATTTCAAAAAAATAAATAAAACATTGAAAAGAATCATTTAGAAAACTCTCCAGAATGCAGAATAAAAACTTCCAATTATCCGATCCACAGATAAATCTTTCTTTTTCCAGTACCACAAGGAAAAAGACAAGATAAACATCTCTTCATATCACATTACCAGGATGTAAAAGGCCAATTATCTGGGGGTGAATAGAACACCTGCAGGCATAGAGAATAGCCCTTTGGTGGTGACAGAGGGCAAAGAGATGTGAAAACCATGGGGTGTCCCTGTCCAGTTTAGCCCAATTATCATACCCTAAAATGCTTGTTGATCTTAAATTTTATCAGGGGTGAAAATCACTTTGAAAAGCGGCTTTCGAATTT